CCACCAACCTTTGCATAATGGATAGCAGCAACCTGAAGTCAAATACGCACAAAAACCTATGGAAATCAGGAAAAAACTTTTGAAAAAATGAATTCAAGCAAAGTATCATGCCATTGATGGGTCAATCACTTAAAAGAGTGGGAGCTCAGAAGTTCGTTTGCAATTGCATCAGTTTGAGAACCTAGGAGTGGTATAACACGTGTCGTATCGTATAGAGATTCGGCAGTGGACAGGGTTCGGGATGAATGATCCCACGGAAATCCGCCATGTATTTGAACTCCACATAGAAATTCATAGAGCTGATTGAATGTTACTAGCTGCCGATAGCGATGGTGTTCTAGTCTTATATTTTTGCTCCAGCATTTGCTGACAGGCGATTTATTTAACAGTTCCATTCAAAAAGGGTGAGTTTTTGGAATGCATCGAGGATGTATGGGAGGATGTTCTAATCAGGATTCTTATCAGAACTCTCACTAGTCAGTCTTACTCTTCTTCTACTATTCAATGTAGAAGTTATGTTTACGATATCAGCCGAGAAACATGAAGATACTAAGAGATTTTTGAGAAGGATGGGGTCATTTCGGGTGTTCCAATCAACACAATGCACATATTCTAGGCGATTTTTGACTTGTTCCTCCCAAAAAACTGAGACCAACTCAGCTCATCGCTGATGAAAATAATTAGAAATATTCCAAATACCCCGTACGACATTTAGACTCACTTACCCCATTATTGACAACAGAATTTCCAGTTAAAATAGAATCTTAATGGATTGAATAATATCTTAAATACCAGGGTAAAATGCCTGCCACCCCAGCCCCTACATGATTCTGAGCTCTAATCAGACATCATATATGTGGCGCAACCTAGAAAGTCCGATGCTGACTATACTCTTCGGATGCTCTGCAAGCCTTATTGAATGCCCAAAGTAGCGCTGTTACGAGAAGGGTATCAGTAGTGATGCTACTGCTAAGGGAATGACCAAAGAAGATGAAGTTGATAGAGCATTTTGTAGTTCCAGTCAGTGTATGGGCTAATTTTTGAAAAAAAAACAACAAGAAAATTGAACTGACAAATAAATGCAAGCCTTCTAAATGGCGACTCTTGAAATTACCCTCAGTCCCAAGATGGGTCAGAACTTTGACAACGAAAAGGTTTGAGAACATCTCAGGAAGAAAGACCACTCTTTCTTTATAGGATCTTCGTGAACTTTGCAGAGAACAGCTGAGATTCCCAGGGATTAGCTTGACCCACTCCAGAGGAGTAAAATCGAGGTAATGAACGAAGCCATGCGAACTCTCAACTCATCACCCAGATTCAGCCTCTACCCCCCCCCCCCCACCCCCTCTCCCTCTGGAATTTCGCCCACGGAGGGTGCGTTCAAAATCGAAAGTTAGAGTACTTAATAAATAGACATGGCCTGGAAGTATCAGGATTTGATATGAAGAAAACAGTGTTCCAACTGAAAATTGCACTCAAGTCTGGATCAGTGAGTTGGCGAAAGGTTCTGCAATTTCGTTCATCGAAAATTACAAATTCGACAGACATTCCCTCAGAGCACGAAAGCGAGTCCTCTGGGCGCAAAAGAACGATTTCACTCAAAGTCATAGCTTTTGGCTTGAATGCCGAAGTCGACTATATTTGACGCCACAACCGTAAATCGTACTCACTGCAGGCACTTGAATCTTGCCATCAGTACTTGTGATCAGCTGGTCGCCTTTCTTCGAATAAAAGCATTTATCGTCCGAGTTGACCTGCTGTTCAGTCACACCGGTTTCAATGAATTCGTCATGACATCCGCGGACGAAATGGTACTGATTTGCTGGAAAACTCAACAATACCTATTACCTTCGGAGGGCAGGCTACGTCTCTAGAAGAACACTGACCAGATGGAATGACCATTTCGAAGCAAACGGTCGAACAGGAAGAGACCTTCATGTTTTCTTCAGGAGGATCATCGGTACCAATACTATTACAGCTAAATATTGAATTGACTTTGAGGCGCTCGCGTTACTATTGAAGTAGCGAAAACTCGAACTGACAGGGGAGTAAACGGTAAACCGGCTGGATGACTAGGTAAGCCTGTGAGTTGCCATTGATTGAACAAGGTTGGCGATGCACACTGAATGCAGTTCGTGCTCACCAAGGGCAAGTGGAAAAGCAGTAACAAGTAGAGCATCGCCTGCCGGTCGCTGAGAGTTATCTGAAACGATGTAGCGTAAGGACCAGAGCCAAAGCGGAGATGAAGTCGGCCATCCTCGAAAGGCATCGGGCGAATGATATGGAGCCATTTTATAAGCGATGACTATGATACGCCTTGCGACTTCATTTTATGGCCATCATTCGACTTAGAAAACCCGAGATGACTGATTTTTACGATATTTGCTTTGAATGAAATCAGCCAGTATTTCCGAGTTTCGTGCGATCACTTCACATGTGATGAATCGTAGAAGGATAAAAAGGAATAGGTGGACTTTGAAAACCGCCTCCGCTTTAGATGCTCCCTCCTCCTGCATCCTGATTAGCTTCAAAACTCACTCACCCAGGAATAAAGTCGAAGCCTCATGCTTTAGCTGGTGGGAAGTAACGGTAGGAGTTTCAATCGAATCTTCAATTCCTGCGGATAGGCGAGTTCTGGACCAGAAGTGAATTGCGAACCACTATGCCCTATTACGATCAATTGAGGGTAAATTGATTAATTATACTTAGCAATTAAAGAAGCCGAGGTGGTGCAATGAAAAGTTGCGCACTAACGAAATCATATGGTCGGGGAAGGATTCGGGTCAATTCTTGCCTAAGCCAACCCAGCCTTCTCTCCCTCCAGGGCAGCTTATTGGAACCAGACGCGTCTGGGAGGACATGTACTGCACTGAATGCATGAATTGATGCAGATGCACTGATGCACTGAATTGCGTACCTTCTGGGAACCGTAATTCATAAAATGGGCCTCATACGCATTCGGTACGGTTCTGGATGGAAGTCGAATACTGGAGGGCATTCCTAAAACGGAACTGACTATGACAAACACTTTATTCTTGCGGTTTACAGCCCAGACCTGACAAGTATAGTTTGTTTGCTCTGGTCGGGTCAGTCCATCGGGTAAAAAGTAAAAGTTAACCCATTCCTAGCACATCTCGAAGTGGAACGGGTGAATTCTGCTTACTATTAAGCTGCACTTCAATATCGCCTTCTTTTCGAGTCAACTCTATTAGTTGGCGGTCAACTACAAAACCTTTGAATAAAAGGAACGCTTAGCCTTGGGTCCCCCAAGCGACGACTTCGAAAGAACTCCTCTTGCTCGCGACAGGGAAGAATGGAGCCGATTGGAGTGCTTGACAAGCGAATCGATGATCAACGGGAGGACAGGTGGTGCAGACGATTATTTCCCTTGCTTTCGTTTTCATTTTCTTTTCTCAACTTTCTTTTTTGATCTTTCTTCATGTTTCTCTCTACATCGCAATCTTCTTCTTATTATTTTTCATTTCTCCCCACACAATTGAACGGCTATCATTCCCTCATACTTACCTTTAATTTGCCGTTTTCGTTCTACCTTACCTAATCTATTTCTCAGATAACTCCTTTCGTGGTTTCGAATTGTAATTCTGTGAACTGCTAATATCAGCTACAAGTGACAGGCCGGCTTTCATTGCAGTTTGGTCCCGCTTCCACGCAGGAGGACCTTGGATACACTTTTTGGTGCACCTCGAGCACATACGAATGCACAGAACAGTGAAAATCCCCTTATTTCAATGAGAAGAAACTCTTATTCCATATGTTTACTGCTTCATACCGTCTCCAGTTTATGACAGTCACTAGCAGATTCCGAGTTGATAACAATTTTCTCAGTTTTAGAACTAAGTATTTTTGGTTTGGATCATACATTTTCATAGTCACATACCTTTATATGACGTATGTGATAACAAAAACATTCAAAAAAACAATGACGATAACAAGCGAATAAGCATGTAAAACTATTTGTTAAAAAGTAGACACTATTGAGCTTTGGAGTTCAGTCCGAGACGAAAATATTGAAAAATAAAAGGAAAGAAAGGAGGCGAGTGTACTAAGGTAAGCTCAAACTTTGCTGAACAATGGAATCCGTTTCTATACATTAGGATGGGTTTCCCGAATCACCCATGAAAACCGAACCTTATAACGCTAACTTGGGCACAACCTGTAGAGATCGAAAACCTGATCAAATTAAAACACATGGTATATTTGCGTTCACCATCGTTGACTACCACCCTTGTGGATAATTTTCCGGCATTCAACCAGAATCCTACACTCCAAAGCTCAAAAGTGTCAAAATCCGATCTACGGAGAGCTACAAGCTCCTTTGTGAACTCGTTTAGCGAACGTCTCAGCGACCAGCAACGGAAACACCAACGTGGCGTCTGCGCACACCTTCACAGAATGCGCTGCGGGTTTAATCTGAATGAGCGATTTCCAGCTTGTATTTAGCTCTATTTGTTGCATGCAGTTCCTTAGAACTTTAATAACGTCATTCTTAACATATACCTTTCCCCAACTGACAGCTTCGTCTGGCTGCGCACCAGAATCAGAACCATCGAATTCCTATAACAATGGTTTGAATCACAGCCAGACTCAAATTCATTAAACAAAGACATAGCAATAAATCTAGATTCATTATGCCCTCAACAACAAAAATAGTTTGATTCAGACCAATTTTGAAGCTTTCTCGAAGAATGGTCAAAATCGGGAACCAGTAAAAACTTAGAAATCAAGTCAAAGTAAGGAGTGAAAACGACAAAAAAAGCTCAGTTTTATTCGAACACAAGCTTCCAAAAGACAGCAGTAAAAAGTGTTTCCACACTCCCTCGGCATGAGTTATGAGAAAAAAAAA